TAGGCTGGCCTTAAACTGTCAATCCTCCTGTCTCAGCCCCTAAATACTGAGATTCTGAGACTGAACCACATTTGGTGCTATAATCCAATGCATCTGAAAGGGCTTACTGTAGACCTTGACAGACAGCTAACAGGATCTGTGGCACAAACACAGGCCAAGCACTTTAGTTATCCATAGGCCTCATTTCAAACATAAGCTCTTTGCAAGCTATTTCAGAACACCTGCTCCAGGGGCTGGAGATGGTCGGTGGTTAAGAGCACCTGCCGCTCTTGCACAGGACCTGGCTTTAGTTCCCAGCACCCATGGGGTGGCTCACAACTGTCTATAAGACCAGTTCCAGGGTCTCTGACACCCTCTCCTGACCTCTGTAGGCACCAGGCACCACATGGAGCAGACACACATGCAGGCAAAGCATCCACACACACGAAATGATTTGTCAGAGTACCTGTTCCTGTACAGCCGCACCTCGAGGACCTGAACTTTTCTCGAGACAACACAACAATCAACTCAATTGCTTGACTGATACTGTCCCTCTCTTTCTGGGAAAGTGTTCTCTATCTAGCCCATTTCTTACATATGTAGTAGGATTACAATTTATTAGTGAAATACCAATTTCTAAATCTCTGTTCACAACAGCTGTGTTCAGTGTCACAATCCAGAGTACAAATGTCAAGAAAGGTTTAATTTGAAAGCTTCTGTGATGGGCTTGGCTACAGACCTCCTGGGAAAAGCCTATTAACCACTAATTCCCATTTAGACTCTATTCTCATGGCCCCAACATCACATTCAGAAACCCGAAGGGGAGATACTTATAATACATACCACATATTGCACAGATCCCAAGTTAAGTCTCTTTAAAAAAAATGTCAACTTAGGCTTGTGGCCAACATACAGGAAATAAATCAACATGCAAATAAGTACAAAGAGGCCACTAAAAACCTACAGAAAGTACCTCTTGTTCGCTATATAAAAATCTGTGATAAAAATACAATGAAGCCATTGAAGAACTTGTGATATCTTAGCCTTAGAGGACTTGGCTTTGAGGATAACCCAAGAATGCCAAGGAGCTTGTTTTCACAGGGTAGGAGTTTAGTTTAATTGTATTAAGCTACCAATAATCAGAAAAGCCATTCACTCTTCAAGACTCAGTCAGGCAGAGACAATCTACAAGGGAGTCTCATCTGGTCGGCAACTGCAAAGAAAACTACTGGCCCCCTAAGTAAGTGCTGTGTATAGCAGACACCAAACAATGTGCTGTCAGCCTCCATCTCCAAATTTATTTTCTTCACTTCATACAGAAGTGAAGGTTCTAGATAATAGGTTACCTTTCCCACCATTCACCTCAAAGTCCATACATGCTTCTAACATTCTCATTTTCTCATTTCAGAATCTGGGACACCACTTCATACCTGACTGCCATGCTGAGGGGGAGGTGAGCGTGGCAGCAAAGCAGACAGAAAAGCCAACCTATAGGGGTTGGGGATTTAGCTCAGGGGTAGAGCGCTTGCTTAGCAAGCGCAAGGCCCTGGGTTCGGTCCTCAGCTCTGGGAAAAAAAAAAAAAAAAAAGGAAAGAAAGAAAGAAAAGCCAACCTATGGCAAGAACATCAGGCTTGGCAAGACAGTTCAGTTGGGAAAGTGCTTGCCTTGCAAACACGGGGACTTGAGTTCAAATCCCCAGAACTCATGGTGTAGAAAAGCCAGGAGCCAGGCATGGTGGCATATGCCTTTAATCCTAGCCCTGGGGAACAGAAGCAAGTGGATCTCTGAGTTCAAGGCCAGCCTGGTTTACACAGGGAGTTCCAGACCAGCCAGGACTACATGTTGAAACAACAACAAAAAAGGAAATTTAGCTGCCCAGTAGTGTGAATTACAGCCAAGTCTTTGAAATTTAGTGTAAAAATAATCTTTAATAATAGTGAAGAAATAGTAGCCGGGCTATGGTGGCGCATGCCTTTAATCCCAGCACTCGGGAGGCAGAGCCAGGTGGATCTCTGTGAGTTCAAGGCCAGCCTGGTCTACAGAGCAAGATCCAGAACAGGCTCCAAAATTACACGGAGAAATCCTGTCTTGAAAAACAAAAACAAAAACAAAACAACAACAACAAAAAAAAATAGTGAAGAAATAATTCCTATTAAACACTGAAAGTGTATTGTACCTGATTACAGTAATATATTTCCACTGTAGGACATACAGGTGTGGAGAAGTAGGAATATGAAAATAAAAGTCACATATTAAAGCTTATCAAGTTGGCGTGTGTTTATATGTGTAGCATAATGTATGTGTGGAGCCAGAGGCCAACATTATGTGTCTTTTTTTTTTTTTTTTTGGTGATAGGGTCTCTCTGAACCTGGAGTTTACCCATAGGCTAGACAAGTTGTCGGGGATCCACCTGTCTCTGCTCCCATTGAATTAGAGATGTATGCCATGCTTGGCTTTTATGTGGGTTCTGGGGATCCAAACTCAGGTTTTGGTGTTTGTATGACGACCACTTTACCAACTGAGCCATCTCATCTCCCTAGCCTTACCTTGCCAAGTTTTTAAGATCTACTGTCCACTAAATCAACAGGATTTTTTTTCCAGAATTAAGACTGTCGCACTATAAACATTCTGAAATGAGTAAGTAATGATGTAATAATTACAGAAGTCCAAAACACATTCTCATGATCTCATCATCCCCTCAGGGCACCCTGTACCAATGTAGTGCCAGCATTTGTCACCATTCCATGATGGAGCAGACAGACCTAAGGGGAGGTTTACACGGCTGAACTCTCTATTTAGAAATATAATCAAGGGCTTATGCCCAAAGTCTCTGGATACAAAGGCCAGCACTCCCTCCACACCTTTAAAAGTATTAACCAGTTACCTACTATGTGTGAAAGACTATGAATAAACATGGCAACACTCTTAGTGTTACGATGGGAATTGAGAAAGTAGAAAAAAGTTAGCTAAGAAATAAGTACAATATAAAATAGAACATTAATAAATGCAGTAAAGGCACAAAATGCTTTAAAATTCCCAGGGAATAGGGACTGGAGCAATGGCTCAATGGACAGAATGCTTCCTACACAACATGAGGATTTGAGATCACATCCTCAGGGCTGGAGAGATGGCTCAGAGGTTAAGAGCACTGAATGCTCTTCCAGAGGTCCTGAGTTCAATTCCCAGCACCCACATGGTGGCTCACAACCATCTGCAATGAGATCTGGCACCCTCTTTTGTATACATAATAAATAAATAAATCTTAAAAAAAAAAAAAAAAAGAGATCACATCCTCGGCACCCACATAAAAAAGTTGGGCAAGGGGGACTGGAGAGATGGTTCATCAGTTCCCAGCACTCACCATCCCTAACTCCAGTATCAGGGGTCCTAGTGCCCTCCTCTGGTACCTAACAGGCATACAGCGCACTCACATATATGCAGGTAAAACATGCACAAACAGATGGAGGCATGGCCCACGCCTTTAATCCCAGCACTCAGGAGTCAGAGGCAGATAGAGCTTTGTGAGTTTGAGGCCAGCCTGGTCTACAGAGGGAGTTCCAGGACAGCCAGAGCTGTATAGTGAGACCCTGTCTCAAATCCCCACCCTCCAAACAATCAGTCTTTGGCATTCTTCATAATAAGTCAGAGTTTCAGGGATTTACCCTACTATTTTCACCAATTTACCAGTAATTCCTTACCCGTTCTGACAACTTCGTTCTAGGACAGTTTTTGAATTTAAATTTCTCTGGGTGATGAGCTAAGGGCTGACTTTTTGGTTCCCAATTGTGTTGCTTTTTTTTCCCTTTTAGACAGGGTTTCTCTGTGTAGCCCTGGCTGTCCTGGAACTCACTCTGTAGACCAGGCTGGTCTCAAGATATTCACCTACCTCAGCTTGAATGCTGAGGATTAAAGGTGTGCTTCACCACACCTGGCTTATTATTTTTCTAAATTAAAACAACAGTAACAAAAAATACAAAACAAAAACCCAAGGAACATTGTCCATCAACACTGAAAAGTTTAGTGCCGGGGAGTTGTAATTCAGTGGTAGAATGTGTATTCAGCATGTGCAATGACCAGCACCAAATGACACTGAAGAAAAAAAGAGTTTAAAATTTGTCCAAGTCATTCCACTAATGTGAAGTTCAAACAGGGGTTTATCTAGGGCGTCTGGGGGAGATGCTGGTTCTTGGGGTGGTGACTGCTGATAACGTTTTCACACCTTATCTCAGTGTTGGCTACATGGATATGTTTACTTCATAGAAATTCACAGTGGCTGAGGCAGGAGGACTGCAGGTCTGAAACCCACCTGGATTACAGAACAAGACTGTCCCAAACAAACAAATGAACAAGAATTTAAATTATTTGAGTGGCACAGCAGTTTAAACACACTATAAAATCAGATACTGTGTGAGAACAAAACTTCTTCCCCAATTCTAAATTTGAAATAGTGCTTGATAGTTGGAGAGAGGGAAGTGCCACCAAGGAAGAGCACACAGGGACGTCAACAGCGCGGGTGGTTCTCTTCACTGAGCATGGGCTATGTAGTATACCTTACATATTGCATAACTAATTTTTAAAAGAAAAACTCAAAAGACTAAGTACAGCTTCATTTTACTTTACATACTGGCAAATACTAGATTATTTCTTCTATATTTACTAAAAGTAAAGAGAAAACTTTTGTTTGTTTTGAGACAGGGTTTCTCTGTGTAGCCCTGGCTGGCTTGGAACACACTCTGTAAATCAGGCTGGCCTTGAACTCAGAGATCTGCCTCTGCCTCTGCCTCCCAAGTGCTGGGATTAAAGGTGTGTTCTACCATGCCTGGCTAGAAAACTTTTTTTAAATCAGAGCTGATTTACATACTAGGAAAATGTAAAGAAAGTATACATCATCTTTGGTGGTTCATTTTCTCAAAAAACACTACTTAGAAATTGAATCCTGTTATTTTAGTAGTATATAACTGGTTCCACAGCAAAGTGTCACACATCAGAGAGGATGTGACCCTCTCACTGAGTCAATTACCTCAATTTCCTGTAACTGCTCCTGATTGGTTGTGTACATCTGCTGAAGAGAATCCTCCAACTCTGTGTTCCGATCCAGCAGCGTCTTTCCCAGTTCAGCAGCAAGCTGGAGATCTAGCACAACAAACATCTTAGAATGCGGCAAGTATGAGCTCACATCGACGTTTTACATAACCCAGCTCTTAAAATAAACAAGGCAAGTCCCAACACACGCGAGGCAGATCCCAGTGGAATGAAGAACGGCCTAGAAGGAACTGTGAGTTCTACCTGAAATTCAGAATTGGGGTCAGCTAGCAGGTGAAGCACTCGTTCATGCACCCTAGTCAGACATAAAGACAGCAGTCTGCTTTAGAGAGATGTGGGCATTAGTTCAGGAATGACCATTCAGTAAAACAGTTTTAAAATCATCATTTGGTAATAGACATATTCAAATCCTGACATTGAGATGGATCCTTGAGCCAAAGCACAGGCAGGCCTCTCAGCAGCCTCTAAAATTCCCATCAAGCTGCTGTGAACACAACTGTCAAAGTTTTTGTCTGTATTTTTCCCCCCAAGACAGGGTTTCTCTGTCTAGCTGTAGCTGTCCTGGAGCTTGCTCTGTAGACCAGGCTGGCCTCGAACTCACAGAGATCCGCCTGCCTCTGCCTCCCGAGTGCTGGGATTAAAGGCGTGCGCCACCACTCTCAGCTATATCTGGAGTCCTTAATTTATTTTTTTTTTTTATTCATGTGTGTCTGCCTATGTGAGTTTGTGTACCACTGAAGGTCAGAAGCAGGCATTAGATCCCCTGGAACTGGAGTTACAAGTCATTAGGCCCCTCAGATTTGTTCCTCTTCACAGTGTAGCCACACTAGATACATCTTTTGTTTATACTATCACTTGTCTTTCTTTTTTTTTTTTTTCTTTTTCGAGACAGGGTTTCTCTGTGTAGTTTTGGTGCCTGTCCTGGACTAGCTCTGTAGACCAGGCTGGCCTCGAACTCACAGAGATCCGCCTGCCTCTGCCTCCCAACTGCTGGGATTAAAGGTGTGCGCCACCACCGCCCGGCTACTATCACTCGTCTTTAATGGTGTACTGGAGCTAGGTGGCTGAGCTTAGCTTGCAGGTGTTGCCAGAGTCCAAGCTTTTACTTTAAAAATTCCAGCAATTACAGTGACACAGGAAATTGAAATAATTAACTGTGTAGCACATTTTATGGGCCAGCCCTATGATACAGTGGGAAATGGGATGACCTCTGGGCAGGACGGTATAAGGTCCAGTTCTGACTAACATTTTCTATAACCGTGATTTTAACTGTTTTCATTTTTGTTATTTTTAATTGTGTGTGTTTCTGTCTCTCTCTGTGTGTAGGTATGTGAAATGAGTGTAGGTGCCCACAGAAGCCAGAGCTGGAATTACAGGTGGTTGTAAGTTGCCTCATGTGGGTGCTGGGAACTGAACTTGGGCCCTCTGCGGGAACAGTACATTCTCTTAACTGCTAAGCCATCTTTCCAGTCCCCCATATGGCAATTTTAAAGGTCCCTACTCCTAACTGTCTTATTTGGAGAAGTGACTACTCTGTTAATATCAGATTGTAGCAATCAAATGAAATAATAGAAGTTCTTCCCAAACTAAGTTGCAATACACAAAGTGTTTCTAGCAGGCACTGGTTTAGATGCCATTAGATGTCTGCTGCTGGGCACTATTCTAAACTCGGGCTACAGAATACTACACAGAACAGGTGAAGGTCTGGCTTTGTTGACTTTCCTAGGCTACTAGGGAAGCTAGGCAGCACATAAGCACTAATGTTCAAACATGATAGCACCATCACCACCAGATGCTGCTTTGACGACTATATTCACAGATGCTCACATATATATTCAGTAGTATCAGATTATGTTTTAGGCATTGGGGATTATAAAGAATTCAGATTTTAAAAAATGTTCTGCCTTCTTGGAGCTTATAGTCTATGGGGAGAAAGCCACAGGATAGAATATATAACAGAACAGCAGCTCCTTCAGAGATCACGGAAAGCAAGGAAGATGTATGGAGGAGTGTAGATGTGAGAGGCTGAGCCACAGGCGACATGGCAGTAAAGATGTGAAGACACTGAGGAAGTGGACATCTGCAGGAAGAGAACTCCAGGCAGAGACAAAGCAAGTGCAAAGTCCCCAGGAGGAATCACAAGGGGAGCTATTAAGGAGGCCAATGAGACTGGAGCGGAATGGGACATAGAGAGTAAGTCAGAGGGACTCCAACGACGGCAGCTTGGAGAGGACTAAACCAGAGACACATGACATTGCCTTTTACTCCACAGTAGGTGGAGAGAACAGAGAGGCTTGGCAGGGTCATTCTGGCTGTCTGCCGTATGAACACCCTGAATGGGACAAAGACAGAGCAGAGTGATAAGATACTGTAATCGTCTGAGAGAAAGAATGGCGGCTTGGACCAGACGCTGGAGATGGAGAAAAGGAACAGACTTCAACATGACTTGAAAGTAAAAGCTGTAAGGATTTGTTGATTAATTTGATACTGACTATAAGGGAGGAAAAGTTAAATTATGTAAGGAGGAATCTAATTTTAGCTATGGCTTGAAAGATGGGAAGTCATCATGGGACAGCCAGGAAATAACTCATCATATTCTACAATCTGGCAAGTAGCTAATAAGAAGAAAGCAAGAAAAGAGAGTGGAGTGAGTTGAAATGGGAGAAGCAGGCAAAGAGCAACCATGTAAGACGTTACCGCCATGGCAGAGAAATTCTGAATTGTATTCTATGGCAAGTCACTTCAGCTACTGGAACACAAATATGTATCATAAAAAACCCACATGATTTTAAGCTTAATTTTTAAAGGTTGACAAATAAGATTTAACATCAACCCATTAAACATCTAACCATCCCTATTGGCAGTAAAAGTTAACCTAGAATAAATGGTAATAAAAAACCAACAAACTTCATTATATAGTAATGCCCACCCAACAACATAATTAGTATTGTGCTGGGTTGGTTTTCCTCACCAAGGAAAACAAAACAAAACACCAAAAGCAACAAAACCCACTATATACCAGTCCAGCTCAGCTCAAAAACAATACACATGTATATGTATATGTATACACATATACACTTTTTTTCATACAATTTATCTTGATTATGTTTCTTTCCTTCCCCAACTTCTTCCAGATCCTCTCCAGAACTGGAGAGAAAGCTAAAGGAGGAAATATGGGAGGGACAACTAACACTAAAGGCCATTTGAAAAGCCATGGAAACCTACCACTGTAGAAGCTTAGGTGTGTGTGTGTGTGTGTGTGTGTGTGTGTGTGTGTGTGTGTGCATGCACACACAAATATATATACAAATATATACATAAATGAAAGGAATCTAAACAGTCACCGAATAATAGGGGAGCCAATGCCCCAACTAGACATCTTATGCCACCAAGTAAAACCTCCAGTGCCAGGCTTGGGTTTCATCTTGTTGAGTAATGGCCAAAGGGGTTCCCCAGAAGCCTCAAAACATCACAGCCTAGTGGTTGCTCTCCACAACCTAATGGTAAGGAACTATTGCTGAAGGCAGTTACGTCAATGAAAGCGCAAACAGAGCTGATCCTTAACTAGAAGTTCCGTTCCACTCCGACTGACTAGTGTCCATGGTGCTGGCACGTACTTTGGACATTACTTATCACCCAGCTACAACAGTGACCTGTCTGCACGACAGACTGGTACAATAGTGGCACAAATGTTACGGGACTAGCCAACCACTTTTCTGACTGGATTTAAGGCCCATTCGACGAGCTGGAACCCATACCTGACACTGCTTAAGTGGCCAAGAACCTGAGACTAGACGGGCCATGGCCTAAGGGAAGCTTCCTATGTTCTTTTTTCTTGAGAGGAAGGTCCCACTGTTGACCAGGCTGACCTCTCATTCACAACCCTCTTGCCCATCCTGCCAAGCAGCCAAGATTATACTACTTGTGCCATACATCCAGCATACTCACCTTACATATTTTTCACTATTTTAAAATGAAACAGTATTGACAGTTGCTAAAATATATTCTCTGATGAATTTTAACAATATTAAAATATATATTACCGTTATTACATTAAGGCCAGTAAAGAAGCCAATCAAATGCTATCTTGTATTCATAAGCTAAATAGAACCTTCACCAACAACTCAAAGCATTTAAGAGGTATTAATCTTGGTATGTTTTTATATGATACAAAACCTAGTTTTTCAGATGAGACAACCTGAAGCACAAAACTATTAAAGTATCAATAAACTGCACATGGTGAATCACACACAGGCAAGGCAGAAACTATAGTCAGCAGGTTCTAACTCACATCACTGGACTCCCAATCATCTACATCTGCGTAATGTTGTCTTCTCCCATCGCTGGAGCCTTGTACACACAAGGCAAGTGTTCTGAAATAACATCCCTAACCACCTCCCCTCCAACCCCTCATATATAGTCTCACCACGTAACTTCGGTCTTAGACTCCATCTTTCTGTCTTACATTGTCAGTGCTACAATAACAGGCATGTGCCCCCACCTGGATGTGAAGTAGGTTGTTTTTTTCCCTTCTTCAGTGCTGAGGCTCAAACCTAGGGCTTTGTACATTCTAAGCAAGCACTCAACCATTGAACTAAATCCTCAAACCCATGTCTGTGTAGTTTGAAGGCTGAAGAAAGTAATGTCCACACACTACTTCAAGGAGGAGATCACAAAGCTCCCTAATGGGAGGCTTTAATCACTTGCAAGTGACAGCAAGGAGAAGTGAAAAGTTCAGTTATCTGGGTATTTGTGGCCAGCTTGCCCAGTGCAAGAACATCCACACCCAGCCAAGTGACGGTCTTTTTTTCCATGGAATGAAAAAGCTATAATTGGACATGGTGAAGAACACCTGTAATCCCATCACTCTGGAGGCAGAGACAGGAGGATTGCGACACATTCGAAGATAGCCTTAGTCTACACACAGCAAGTTCCCAGCCAGCCAGGATTGTGCATTGAGACCTTGTCTCAAAATCAAAACAAGAACAAAAAAGAAGTACATTCACTGTGTGTGAGTGGCAGTGCATGCCTTTAATCCCAGCACGGAGGCAGAGGCAGGTAGTAGATCTCAGTGAGTCTGAGGATAGTCT